TTTTATGTTTTATAATGTGAGGCTGGGCAAGTGGACTTTTTTGGAACAGCAGTTTCTAACTACGAGACCACAAGTTTGGGCCTAAATGGTGTGAGTGACAGCCTGTCTCCCCATGATACACCCAAGCAAGTGAGACCACTTGGGGAATGTGATAAGGGTGCACTGACATCCAGAAAAGGGTTAATAGATGGATCCCATAACCTCCCAGCTGTGAGTAAGGAGCCAATTAGCAATAACTGTCAGAGAATGCTCCAGAAAGTAGCCTTGAGGAAACACCTTGAGTAGCTGGCTGGGAAGAAGCCATGTGAGGGGGAAGAACTCTAAGGCAGGCAGAGTGGAATCCATGGCCCTGTACAAGATGTGGACAAACAGGGAAAAGGCAGGAGAAGCCCAAATGGCAAGCAGTGAGGGACTGTCTGGAGTTGAACTTAACTGCCTAATACAGGGGCCCTGAGCTGGAACCCAGAGGAAAGGTTGGTCTTAGTTCCCCTCTCATAGCAAGAGGGGAAATACAAGCCTCAAAGGCAAAGCCTGAAAACCATTAGACTGTTTTTTTCCGTTTGTACTTTGCTATTACCCCAGCAGGGGGCTGAACTGAAAGCTGACTTGGCTGAAGGCAGGCCTCGGAAATTGCAAGCTGCTGCAGCATAGTTGACAGGCTACCAAGAGCAGAAACAACTCCTGCCATGCCATGTGCTGGCATCAGGGGGTGCTCTGGCAGGCAGTTAGCCTTGTGATAGGGAGACTGAGATAAAGCCTCTAGAGTTAAGAATGAAAGATCTGGTGACAAGTGGCTCTCAGGAGGTGCTTTCCTAGAATTCACTTCCCTAGTCTATCCAGTAGACCCCAATGCTTGTTAGCTTTCAGGGCACCGTACAGGTTTCTCTAGGATAAATTTGGCTGTGGCAGGGGGAGTGAGCTCCAAAAGTGTGACTCCTATGAACCACCTTTGGTAGGTCTACATGGGTTAGCTTTAAGCTGCCTAGCTTTGATAACAAAGTAGTGAAGCTATGGTAGTACAGGCTGCATAAACCTGCATAATCACTCATGAGGCTAGCCCGCGATGAAACTAGTATTGCTGTAGCTTCATTGCTCTAGTGCCTGAGCTACATAGATTAAAGCTAGCATGGATTTGTTAACTAGGCTGCAATTCCAGCTCATGGTTGCAGTGCAAACATTCAGGTGTGCCAAGAAGTTGACTGTTGTTTGGGAAAGACAAGCCTTTTATTCTGTTTCTGAAAAGATTTGTATATTTCCAAGTTTACATGGGTCATGCGGAAGAGTAAATTTTATACATCATAAAAACAAACACTATGCAAAGTCCTAAGGAAAGTGGTGTAGAATATATCAACTTCATTCAGGTGCTAAGGATAGTTCAGTTGCAAATTTAAACTTGCTGATGACTTCATGCTGCTTGTGGTGGAGGACAGAACACTTTTCTGGTGATAAGGCAGAAGTTAAGAGATCATCTAAGTAAACTCTGATCGCCTTCAGCTGATGCTCATATGACCAAAGCACCATTGATTGATATTCCATTTAAAAACCAATTTATAACTGAAGAAATGGTTGCTGACATTAAGTGTCAAGTAACATTGAGACTCATGAAGCAGGCACATCTGGATGTTTTTCAAAAGCTGCTGAGAGATTATTTCTCTAACACAGTAACAGAAAGGACCTTTATTGCAGGTCACCAAAGTCACACTCTTACTCCAGAGACTTCTCCTATGATATTTTTGAAAAGCTATCCCTACATCTCTTTGGGTATGTCTACACTAGCCCGCTAATTCGAACTAGCGGGGTAATGTAGACATACCACAATTGCAAATGAAGCCCGGGATTTGAATTTCCCGGCCTTCATTTGCATAAGCCGGGCGCCGCCATTTTTAAATTCCGGCTGGTTCGAACCCCATGCCGCGCGGCTACACACGGCACGAACTAGGTAGTTCGAACTAGGCTTCCTAGTTTGAACTACCGTTACTCCTCATTCCACGAGGAGTAACGGTAGTTCCGCGTGTAGCCGCGCGGCACGGGGTTCAAACCAGCCGGAATTTAAAAATGGCGGCGCCCGGCTTATGCAAATGAAGCCCGGGAAATTCAAATCCCGGGCTTCATTTGCAATTGCGGTATGCCTACATTATCCCGCTAGTTCGAATTAGCGGGGTAGTGTAGACATACCCTTTGTAATTAGAGGAGGTGAAGATCTAAAGCAGAAGCATGTACCTTATTCTGAATAGTCAAAAATAAGGTGTAATGTTTTGGTTGAACTAGTTTTTTGTTTGGACTTTTCATTAAGGTATAAATTTTCCATTTTCAGGTTGGTCATAATTTTCTTTAAAAAAAGAGACATTATTTCATCCCTTCGCACATCTCTATGGAGATTCTGTCCTTTAAAATTAAACTGGAGTCAGGTCAGACATGAATATGGCTTCAGTGTTGTTTGTTGGTGTTGCAACGACAGCTTTCTAGATTTAAGTTTTTACTCGTTAGCCTCAGTGAGGCAAATTCTCCCTTTTGTTACATTGGAATAAATCTTGAGTAACTCTGTTGATTTCAATAAATCTACCTAAAGTGGAGTAGGTGATGTTGCTGCTGGCACCAGAGTTTGGATATTACCCAGTACTGTAGTTATCTTGTAAGTTAGCGGAACTGCTTACTTTATTTTTACAACTTAACATGCAAGCAGGCAGGCATGTCTTAGTAATGATGACACAAAAATATTATATTGTACGATTTCATAGGTTGCAGTGGCATCAAAACAGGAACTTTCTTTCAACACTGCTAACATCATTCCCAACTAACCTGCCAGTATGATCATGGGTGCCCTGCTGGGATCCAATGGATTCTTCTGGCGTGGCTTCCCTGTAGTGGGGTTCAAACATACCCATGGGCTCCACTTAGCTCCTAAAGCTAGTCTTCCTGTCAGTGGTGATTAGATGCACTTCTGAGCTTGAATGTCTATTGGTGGGGTTTAGATACCCCACTATACTCTGCTAGTCCATGTGGGTTTGACTCCTTAGTTGGGGAAAAATACATGGTGGCATTCTCCAAAGTGCTACTCATATATGAAGCTTGACTCTCAGTAGATTGGGCAGACCTTGAGAATGTGCTCATCCCTCTTAATTTTTCTCAGACTTTGAACAATGGCTGACATTTCCGCAACTCAACAGTAGGTATCCGAGTTAACATCTCACGGAGGTAAATGGAGATGTTTCAGGCTCACACAGGCAAAGTTACTGCCTAAATTCCATTTGGTTCATATTTTCAAGGTTTTTTTTTCACAACCACAATATCTAGAGACTTCAGGGTGTTTTTTTTTTGGGGGGGGGGGGTTTAAGGCAGCTTAGACATTAGAGCATAATATGGCTTCTTGGAAAGATGCTAAGATGCTGTACTATCACCTACCTCTCCTACAGTTTGATCCGTTTGGAGTACAGAGATACTGTATAGGTTGAAACTTTTAACCAGGATTCTCTGGTTTGACAACATCCATGGTCTGGCATGGATGTTGCAGGACCAGAGAGTCCCGGTAGAGGGCCAGAGGCAAGGGAACCACGGAGAACAGCTGCCTAGCAAGTCCCGGGGCTCCAGCATGGCGTGTGTGGCTGCCCTGTGGGTTCTGATGCCCCAGCGTGGTGCATGAGGCTGCCCTGCAGGTCCCGGAGTCCCAGCGAGATGCTTGCGACTTCCTGGCAGGTCCAAAAGTTCCAGAGTAGGGCTGCCCAGCAGGTCCAGGAGCCACAGCAGTGGTGCCTGCCCAATGGGGTTAGCAGGAGGTGAGGAGCCAGCCAGGAGGTCAGCACCCGAGCCAGGGAGGCCTATGGTAGGGATCCAGAAATGACATCCTCTAGTCTGGCAAAATACCTCATCTGGGACCAGTCCGGAGGTCCAATCGGTAGTTATTTTTGGTGTTACTGGAGAGTGTCTTTTTGGATAATTTCTAAGTGTTGTGAATAATCCTTGTAATTAAACCTCCAATTTTGTACTTGGAAAGGTAGACATCAAATTGCTGGAGCATAGATAATTGTAAATGTTTCAGAACTTCTTCCTTTTTTTTTTTTTTTTTAAGTAGACAGTGGTGTTATGTGTTACTTGCTGAGCATTGACAATGTACTATCAGTGACACTTGCATTCCTCTGGCCAGAATACAGAGTGCCTGGTTTACCTTCTCTACCATTACATTCAGTGCAATATCTCTACATAATTCTGATGTGCTGAATATATAACACTGAACGGTGAAAAATGAAAGATCCAAATATTAAACTTTCACTTTTGCCACTTGTATTTTTTGAGCAAGGAAAAACGTACGCAATGAGCAGTAATTTAAGTTGTGTGTCATCTCTGCTCCTTGACTCCAAATGGATATTTTCCTCCCTTTTAAGGAACTAACAGTTTTGTCCTTGCCTCTTCCTGACTCTGCCGACAGCTTCTGCAAGGTTGGTATCCTCACAAATTGTTTTGGTTTTTCTTGGTTTGACAAGTTTTGAAACATGATGAGGGCTTTTGGAGGGGATGAGGGTCACTTCATTTTGTTGAGTTCCATTTGTCTCTCTTAGCTTTACAGACTTTCTTAGTTTAGAACCATTAATTATTGATTGTTATTTCCTCCAATGGATGAATAATAGAAAACAAAATTCCAATGAGCAAATATTTTCCATTGAACAGCAGTGCAACCATACCAAAGATACTTTCCATCCTCAGCCCGGACTTCCAACAAATATGCAATTTACGCTGCATGAATTATGCTGGAATCATACATATACAGTGTATTTCACATTACTGAGTATTTCTACATCACGTGGCCATTCTAATATGGGCAGTTTGCCCAGGTTAATGACAATCACTGTACAGGCACTTTTACACACCTAGATACATATAAAGCTTATCTGTAAAATCAAATAGAAACTGTTAGCTCTTGCAGATTATTTACTTTACTAAATTCCCTTGTTACTTAGGCTAGTGAATACAACTAAATAAAACAAGGAACTATTGAGCACAAAAGCAGTAAAAACATAAGGACTTCAACCACCCTCTGCAGCTCCAGTCCTCAGGGATCATACACGGCATGGGGGGAAACCTCCTGTGTGCAAGAGACAGATGCTAAAATGTTGGGCTCACTCCTTTCAAACACAAGGACCACCTCTCATCTTGCCAGTTCCCAGTCCAAAGGTAAGGCACCCTTTTTCAATGTTGTTTTTATTCATAAGAGGAAGGTGCACATTTTTTAAAAAATGGCATTTTTTTTCCTGGGGAAAGGAATGTAGAAGAAGTTTCATCCAGTGGTTGTTAGTTACATTGGTAGCAGTCTGGAAAGCAATGGGTGTATATTCTCTAGATATTTCAGATCCATGCCTATTCCTTGAGTCTAAGGCACCTGTACATCACTGGGAAATACCCCAAGAATGGTGTTTAATTTTGTGCTATCCTTGGATGCCCAGTCGGCAGCCATAGTGAGAAATATTTGTTTTTCTACCTTCTGTTGATAAGACAGCGATGCCCACTCTGAAATATGGAAGCTCGAACATAGCAATCCAAGCATTTGATACTCTTTTTACATGGGTATCACCCAATTACTGCAGCTGATCAAGGATGTAGCAATCCACCTTTAAAGTGTTAGACAAGAAAATATTGCACTAGCTCCCAGTAAGTATTCTAATTCAAAGTCTTAGTCCTTCCAGGCCTCAGTAGGCTAGAGCCTGAATAGGGAAGGACTACCTCTCCTGTGTCAGCTCTAAAATACGTAATTACCAGGCAGGCATGATAAGTTGTTGGTACCTAGAACAAAGTTAATCAGAACAGGCAAGAGGCATCCTTGGTGAAGTATGCCCAGTTGTGGAAAGTTGCCACTGAAGAGTTTTCAGAGAGAGATCAATCTGTTTGCCATCTACTTAATTAGGAGAAGTAGCAACATACCCACCAGGCCGGCTTTAGGCCGACTCAACTGATTCCCCCGAATCGGGCCCCGTGCCTAAGAGGGCCCACGCCCTAAAGCCGGAAGTGTGCTGGTGTGCCAGGAGTGCTGAGGGAGGGGGCGTCAGCCCTGGAGGAGCAGCGCGGTGGCTTCTCTGTGCCGCAAGAGGGGTGAGCCGCACTGGCTGCCAGAGCCCCGTTGAAACTGTTTGAATTGGGCCCTGCATTTCCTAGAGCTGGCACTGATACCCACACTCACTAAAAGTGATCTCCACTGAGAGCAGATAGCATCACCAAACCAGGACTACTCAGATTTGTGATACTGACATGCATACACAATCCTAACGTTTTGTATGGGTGCCTAGATGCTATGGTGATTCTTTCATTTTAGGTGGAAGTCTTTGACAATGGAGACGCAGTGGATGGTGAAATATGTTCAGGGCTGTATATAACTTGTTTAGTATTTTTTTCTTGATAAATTTTGAAATTGGAAATTAATGTAAATAAATATTTTCATCATTATTATAACTGAATATGGAAAGTAATGATGCTGATTTATATACATGGCAGCCAAAGAGGACACAACCAAAAAAGATACACCTAAGTCTGCCATGACTTATGGTGCTCCATGTAGCCCCTATTAATCATACCAACTTCCTTTTCATTATCCCTATCACTGGCATATCTTTGCTTTCTTGCCTTTTCTTAATATTTTTAGAGGAAGTGGTTCTCCTTTTGCTTTTTGGGCCTGCAGAAAGGGGAGCTGTATGCATGTGTATGCTTACTATAGCTCTGGCTATAGAATTCTCTTTTATTTTTAGGAAATACTTACTATAAATGGTCTGAGAGGCGTGTTAGTCTGTACGTAAGCAAGTGCCGCAGGATTCTTCATTATGGATGAGTGCATGGTGTGTCTTTCCACTCTTTTTGCTGCCTCTTGATAGAAGCATTTATATTCAATAGGCCTTGGTAGCACTAGTAGGCCAGCAGTGATCTACCTTTAATTTTTTGTTTATAAAATATTCTTTTAGGAGATAGTCTTTATTATGCTACCTATCTAGGAATGGATGTAGCAAGCCCCCTGATAAATTTGAGAGTTATTTCTGAAAATAACTGTAACTTCTAAATACATACTGAATCTTTGTAATCTTGCAACATCTGTGGTCTGGTATGATTTTAGTTAGGAGGTTGTCCACTTCTCATGGGTGTGGCCAAACTTCCCAGAGTCCCATAAAGTTTGTTTACAGCCACCATTCCTGGCTCTGTCCTGTGCTGTAATTAGAAGACATTTGGTGGTAAATTAGAGCTAAAAGCCCAGCAAGCAATGGAAGTGTTGGTAATGCTTCTAGACAATATTAATCTCTCTGTAGTTCAGCAAATTCTCTGGTTTGGCACCAGTCAGGTCTTGAAGTGCCATACTAGAGAGGTTCAATCTGTATAGCCATGGATGATGGGTGAAGATAGGGCTGGGGAAGGCAGGCCCTTCACCCAACACCTTAAGGAGGTGGGATGGTGCATGGCCCCAGCCTCTTCAGCCCTGGAGCATGGGGAAGTGGGGCAAGCACATGGGGGCAGCAACACTCCACCACCAATATGCCTACAGTAGGCGTTCTGGGGGTGGAGTATGGGTGGGGCCAGGCTGGCAGTTGGGGAAAGCAGTGCCTTCTGCCACCCTGTGTACAGCAGTATTCAGGGAATTGCAGTATAGACCTTTGTGCCTCCTGTAGCAATTGCATATTAGGTTTATTATTCCCCTCCATGTTAACAGAAGAAACAACTGAGTTAAAACTGTTTCACAGTGGTGACCAATTGCCTTCTTCTGATACCTGTAACTTTTATTGAAACAGTTTTCCTGTGTGGTAGCAGCAGCTATACATTTTAAATTATTAAAACAACATGAGTATGACACTTACAGATACTGATTTCTATTGCCATTCCTTTCAAGAAATGACTCATCCGGTGCAGTCAAGATACCTTGGCCAAACCATGGGGCCTGGTATTTGTGTATGGCTGAAGAGATTGTGGCTGGTGAACATTTTGTATATGAACTCAAAGAGAAACTCTTAGACTTTGATTATTTGGTTAGAATTTCTTTGCTTTATTATAGATTCTATGGAAGTTTGTACAATGGAGTTGTAATTCTGAAAATGCATATTATACGGAGACGGGGCACGTTTCCATCAGATGGGGAGAAGAGGCAGATTTTACATAAGTAAATCTTGCATTTCACTGACCTTTCAATGCTCTCTCTCTCTCTTTTTAAACATATGGCCCTTTGCATAATCTGTTCCATGCTCTTACACTCTCCACAGCTCAGGTAGAAGGAATTTTTTATCTGATGTATAGGATCATGGCTTGGATTGTGATTTCAAAGATTTCTAGATCTATAGGAATATAATGCCCTGCTGTTGGGTAAACTCTACCCCTGGTAGCAGCTAATGGATTGTGCAAAGATGTGTGTGCCAGGAATACCTGAGTTCTAATTGCATCTCTACCACTGACTCACTGAGTATGGCCCTGAGCAAGTCATTTGATCTTTCTGTGTCATAGTTTCTATATCATTTTAATGGGACAATGGTACCTACCTATCTCACAGAATTGAGGTCAAGAATACTTAGCTAATATTTGTACAGTACTTGGAAAATATAAAAATCTTTATGTAAATGCTGTAAAGATGCATTATTTTTTTAAGCAGGCGCCTTGAGTTCTGTTCCGACTGCAGCATCTATGTGGTTTAGCTGGTTATTGTGCAGTCTGTACAAGTATGCAGACATGGATCATTACAGATTGGCATCTGGCTGCTGGACAGAACTCCTATGACCTCCATATGCTCTCCAGCTTTATCTGGGAAAATTGTAATTATATTGGCTTGCATGCCGTGCACACTGCTGCCCTCTACTGGTCAGGACCAGATTTAAGAATTTGTGTTTGTCTTGCTGTTTTGTGCTTTGGACTTTCGAAAGAATAGGGCAAACTTTTTTTTCCTTCACAAAAAGTTATTTGACTGGGTTTTTTTTAAGTACAATTACTTTGGCTGTGCTCATGCTTTTTCATCTTCTCTTTCCACAAATATTGGCGTAGTGTGAAATTTGTTGGCATATGTGTGATTGTTCACGAAAACTGAATTTCAAATAAACCAGCTTGAATAACTGTGGGCCAGAAGCATTTTTGCATTCATCCAATCAGTGAACAAAAAAACCCTGTGACTTCTCTGGCCAATCGCAGATAAGCAACAATTTGAAATTTAAATAAACAGAATTCTGTATTTTTTTAAAAATAAATGCATATGGCAAAGGGACAAAAGGCTAATGGAGAATCTGAGGAGAGAGATTAAATTCACTCATTAATGTATTTGCTTGCAGGTTAGATGCAAAACTTTCATGTTCTGTATCCCCTTCAGTGCCCTTAACTTCTTGCAGAAACAAACTCTTATTGAGGATGAATCTGTTCTCTGAAAAAGCTATTTGATTGAATTAACGATTGTTATTGTGCCTATTACATAGATGTGGTAAGAATGTAACTTATTTTCCTGATTTTTTTTTTAATCTTCTGATAGGGTCAGTGTTGCCACTGACCAAATGACATACAAGAGGTCAGGGAAGAGGTATGTTATATTTGGAACCAGCAGAAAAGGAGATGGAGTCAGTTGATATGAAAAACTTGTCTTCTGTGGTACCTTTAATTGTACTTGCAGCAAAACTGAAACTAATACCAAAGTGAGGCTTAGCATTAGGGATGGAGGTCAATGATGATCAAATACTCAAAGGGAGAGGCCATCACACATCCTGCTTTCCAAGGGGAGCAATGACAGCAAAAAAAAACAAAAAACACCTCACTGACTTCAAGACGGAGCTTGATAAGTTTATGAAGGTGAGTGTATGACTTGATTTCTGATGAGGACATGTGGCCCATTGGCAACTGCCAGTAGCAAAAATCCTGGGATGCTGGAGATAGGGCACTAATGAGGAGGCTCTAAGTTACCACTGAGAATTGTTTACTAGGTAGTGCCCGGTGGGTCTTGCTCACATGATCTGGGTCTAACTGATTGCCATATTTGAGGTCAGGAAGGAATTTTTCCCCAGGACAGAATGTCAGAAATCCAGGGTGGGGAGTGGGGTGGGTCACTTTTAGGTTTAAGTTAGTATAAAGGCAGGCGGCTCTGTAAGTTGAAGTCTTAAAACCATGACTTCAGTGACTCAGCCAGAGATCAGGAGTCTATTTCAGGAATGGGTGGGACTGGCAGTGTGCCAGAGATTAGG